AACTCGGTTCGGTGTCGGTATCACTTGAAGTGTGAACATGATCTTCTATGTTGATTAGTGGAGAAGAGGAAGAAGCTTGAACAAGTTGTTGTTGCTTTTCTTGTTTGGCTAATTTTTTCAATCTTTTTGCTTCTTTTTCAATTTCCAGATTGTAGAGTAGTTCACCGGTTCTTGTAGACCTAGGCATAAACAATCAAATAACAATAACCAATTTCCCCGGCAACGGCGCCAAAACTTGGTGGGATGTCAAGTCCACCAAGCAAATTACACCCTTTTGTTTGCAAATAAAACGTAATATAATGGTAAAACAGGGTATCGATCCTCGGGGAAATGGTTGTATTCAATCACCAATGCAATCCAATAGAACTAGTGTAAATAAACTAACTAACTACAATTAAACTAAAAAGGGGGGTGTTTGATTACTTGAAACTAAAAGACTTGAATAACTAAAAACTTGCAATTAAGCAAGATAGTGAGATGCTCAAATATTGGAGAGAATTGGTTAACTAAGGCAATTCAACACAGTGAACATTTGTGTGTTTATCATTAGGATTCAACATGAAGCTTATCATTCATCCCAAATTGGTATAGCAATCATGAAGCATGATATGCCAAGATTCCTCTTAGGTAGTATGGAGGTTGGGGAAGTCCACAACATACCTTCTTAATCAAGATCAAGGATTTAATTGAATCAATTTTAACCCAAGAATTTGATTAGCCTTAAGAAAGAAGGAATCCCCAATTCCTAGAGGATGTCAATGCTTACACATCCATAAAGGAGCTATGATTCATAAACTAGAGATGGTTTTTACCATCATAAAGCTTTTGTTCTATGTCAATTCAATGATCCAATGCAAAACCAAAGAAATAAACTAACAATAGATCATCCATGGAGCCTCTTAGCCCACTATATAAGATATGGAAGATTTACATAATCTACCCATATATCTAATTAGTTATCTTTTGATCACTTAATTAATTCTAAATTAATTCTTGATCAAAACTAATTAAATAATATTATTAATATATTAGAACTTATAATATATTAATAAACCATATGTGTTATTTCTCTCATTTAGTTTATCCAATTGCATGATGCCATGCAACCCAAATGGACCATGTCGGGTCGGGTCAAGTATATACCAGAAATAGTTATGGACTTAGACACCTTATCCAACAGTTACATGGTATAGAATTCCTAGTTGTGACAGAGTCTGCGCGGTCTCTTAACTCACGCAACCATCTTTGAATGTTATCAAAGGTTTGGCTCTTGGTTATGTCATACACCAGAAGAGCTCCAATTGCACCTCTATAGTATGCACCCACTATCGCTCTGTACCTTTCTTGCCATGCTGTGTCCCAAATTTGTGCCTTTACTTTCTTTCCATCAACCTGTTTTCATGTTATTTAGTCAAATCTTGGTGAAAAATGAACTCATAACACCCCTACGTGTCACACCCCAAAACCGGAACGGCGAAAACGTTCAGGGGTGAAGGACGTCATGTACAGTATCACAACAAAGAATAATAGTAAGCAAGTAAACAACATCATACATTGCATTATTAATATAATTCAATACAAGTGTGTTCTGTGGTTTATAAGACACAAAAATATGAATCAAAATAAAAGATGAGTCTTGTATGTGCTCCATCTTCGCAAAAGCTGGCATCGGCACCTGTCTGATGATGACCTGAGAATACAAGTTATTTTGAAAGAGTTTATCAGCATTAAAGTTGGTGAGTACATAAGCATTTTAGTGTCATTATTTGTATGAAAATGTTTGTAACTGTTTAATTGTAAAAGCTTGTAAATGTTTGTAGTCAAGTTGTAAGTGTTCACTTTTAGTAAAATGTTCGTTGTAAAAGTTTGTAAAACTGTATGTAAAATGTTCGTATCATCCTAGAAAATCCCATATTTTCTACTAAAACTGTAGTCTTCTACCAAGACTCAACGTTCGGTTTGTTTGTTTGTAAAAGTATGTATCTTTCCCAAGTTTAACTATCATTATCAAATATAGTTTGTACATTATCGTTTATCTACAAAACGTTTCAAGGAAGATGTATCAGGGAAAATATTATAGAACTGTAGTTTTGTATATGTAAACTACTTTAATACTGCTTACCTTAAAGCCAGTGAATTATAAGGTAAGGTGAGATTTGTAACCATACTGATTGACGGCTGAAGAAACACGACGATGAAAGACGTCGAAATAAATGTGACATTTGTCACCCCATCGACTTGGTCGGCCTAGGACTGTAGCTAACAGTCAGGGTGCGAGATAGTCTGTCCTGTATATATCTATACACACAATGCCCGCTCTCCCTCCAGGAGACTCTGGTTACCAACATGACAACGGTGGAATCCGCATCATGTAGAAGTAAATCTCATATTCTAATTGTTATGTTTGTATATGTTCCTTCTGTTTACTAGTAAATGTATATGTATATGTTCTCTTCTTTATATATGTATATGTATATGTTCTCTTCTTTGTATTTGTATATGTATATGTTCTTGTTTATTCCTCACAATAGTACGTTCTGACTCATGTATAAACTGACTCTTTGTATGACTCATAGTATTTAGAATTTCTGAGTAGTATCTTCCTAAACTATACCTATTATAGTTTATTAGTAGAATTGTTTGTATAACTGAATGTATTGAACTGGGATAAAAGCTATTATGTCTTATACATATATACATAATATATAACTAAGGATCAAACGACACTCGGACAAACAATAGGGTACTCCAAGTCCACAACCAAACAAGGAACATGAAATAGAGTGTATTATCAGTCCTAAGTCCTTCAAACCTTACTTATATAACTATATGTGCATTAGACATGGTTTTGACAATATATAAGTTTAAAAGAATTGAAAGTAATGATTTGGTAAATAAGACTAAGTTTTATAAAGGGTTTAACATGTAAAAGCGTTTGATAATCATTTTGAAGTAGTTTTGTTGACAAAACAGTTAAAAGCATAGTAATTCCATTGTTTGCTAGTTATTAAGCACATGTGATTGATATAATAACTAATATGTTTCAACTTGTATTCCCCCCATAAAAGCATTTAAAAACATTTAAGAGGTTAATTTAGGGGTATGAACTCACCTGTAGTGGGTGTCTTGGATGAAAGTGTTGGACAAGGTGCTAGGTGTCAAGTGAAGACTTGAACACACACAATGATCCTATTAACATATAAAGACATATATGCGTATCTAATTAGTGATTATAACACTAATTAAGTAAGTATAAACATCCTAAAACGTGGAAAACACTTTGGTTTAAGTGTTAGAAGGTCATTGGGTTGCATCAAAGGGGTGTAAGGCATTGCCTTGGAGTTCACGGCCTAAGGACCAACTCCCATGGAGTTTACAGCCTAGGGTTTACGGCCCTAGTGGGTTTACGGTCGTAAACCCATGGTAACCCTTACCAATTCGTATTTTAAGGTCCTTAGCTCGTTTGTGAGGGGTTCTAGTCCAACATCCAAGCCCTAGGAAGGAGTTTATCGCAACTTTGCACCCTTTAATAGAGTTTATGACATTGGGAGATGCCCTGGCCGTAAACCCCTTCCTTTCCAGCTTTCTTGATGAATCTAAGGTGTAAACTAGTTTATTCTAGTATATAACAAGCTAAGACAATATTACTTACAATATAGAAGCTTGTTTGGGTGTTTAAGGTCCAAGAACACTAGTGTGTGTTCTTGGTGTTCTTGGTGAAATGAAGAACACTTGAAGATCTATGAAAAAGAGAAGATTTCATGGATGAAATCATGTATAACCACTAGATGAAGTGTTATAACAACAAATCAAGAGAAGAAACACTTACATTTTGGAAGATTGGAAGGAAGATTTTTATGATACTTGAGAGAGAATGCTGATGTTCTTGAGATTGGAAGTGAGAAATGAGGGGAATGAGGAGTAAACTCATGCTTTAAGCATGAGTTCACGGCTACAAGGGAGTTCACGGCCGAAACTTCAAATGTTTGGCCGTGAACACCTAATTAAGGTGTTAATTGTTTTATTGTTACACCATAATCCTAGAAAATACTTCCTTTTATTCGTTCGTTTGAAGAATTGATATTAAAAACACCCAAACGGACTTTAAATCGGGCTAAAAATTAGCAGAAATGTGTTTGAGTTTTATTTGAAGTGCTTGACTGTAGGGTTTGTACAAATGGAAATTTCGGGTTGTCACACTACGCATTCTATCAAACACTTGGTGTGCCAAATTGGATTGGACACTTTAGATACTTGACATGGATTATCAGACAAGAGTAATTCCTAATTAGTCGATATATTAGCAGAAACTGCTCATTGGATCGTAGGTTTTTTAAGTTCAAAATAGAAATCAACAGGAAAAAGAAGGAAATTTAGACATGAAGAGTTCTAGTAGCAAACTCAACTCCAATCCAATTTAGCAAACTAACATGAAGAAGATGAGGTATTCGGGCCTATAAGAAGAAGAATCCACCGATTAACCTGAAGTATGAAGCAATGATTATCTTAAAGTTGATACAAACAACAACTAAACCGAGTAAAATGAGAAAGATGTGACGATGGTGAAAGCGAAGAGCGTAATTGTGTAAAGGGGAATTCCTGATTTCAGAAAATTGAAAGCGAAGAGCATAATTGATGGTACCAGAAGATGTATGTGGCTAGAAAAAAGATGGATGTGGATAATTTCCGAGATTTAGGGATATCTACCATGATTTCAAAATTTGAATCTAAAAATCTAATTTAGGAAGTAACAGTAGATATGAAGGATTAGGGGAGAAGAATACAGAAATGTTATTTTCGGAACTTCACATAGAAACTTTCAGCGGGAAAATTCGATTGGGAGGGGTTAATAGAATGACACGTGACAAAATTGTTTTTATTTATTAGATTAGGAGATAATAAAGGTGTTTAGTTGATTTTTTGTTAGTGGGGCACGTGACCCCCTCTCTAAATCCGCCATGCTTATATCGTTTGTGTACGCTATATATATAAAGAGAGGGAGTCTGTGTTAGGGTAAGGTCAAAGTATCTTCCGATATAATATTTGTTCTCTCGTCTCTCTCAAACCTGCAATTAGGGTTTCGTCCGTCTTTCTCGATTTCGTATCTTTTTCCCAAATCGTTTTTTTGATGGAAAATGAAACGCGCAGTACGAGCAAGGAAAAACGACGGCCACAATCTGATGATATATGCGACCAAGTCGTAGGCCGTTACGGCAAATCCGTCGCACCTCATCACGTCAAACTCTGCGAAATTGCTATGCGTACCCGCAAATCCCTAAGATCTGGATATCGGCTCACGACTCCCCACTCTTACCTCGAAAATATCATTCACGCCCTATCTGGAAAACTATGACGCCGGTGCAGATTCAGTGTCTGCGATGTGTTTGTTTTTGGAGTTTGTGTTGCGTCGGGTTCCTAAGGAGTTTATAACCAAGTCCGAGGCGACTAAGTCTATGAAGATTGTAGTTAAAGCTTTGCAGGCGACGAGTGATAGCACTTTGGTCGAGTGTTTGGCTTGGTTGCTGGAGTTGTGTGACTTGGACAATTGGGAATCTATAAAATTAGGCGTCCAGGCGCTTATCTACTATTCAAGTCATACACGGCTGGAGGTATTTAATTGTTCTAGCTATTCCAACTCTCTGTGCTACATTTTAAAAATGGTTTTAGTAGTAGATATATTCATGGAGTGTTTACCCCTATATCTCTACTAAAACTAATAGTCTTCAAGGTTTACAGCTTGAGCAAGGCTGAAATATTATAAGTGATAGGATGCCAATAAGTTGTTGAATCAAAATGCAACCATCAAACAATTCAGAGGAAATCGATACTTTTTGAGGTCTATACAATTTGAAAAATGCATGCGTTCTTCATAGCAAAAAGAACAATTATCCTATCACATTAGAATTTTTGAAGCAAAGTGACAAAAATAATGAAAACCACACAAACATGAAGTTGGATAAACTTAACAATTATACAAAATTTTCCTAATTTACTAAACTAAAAGTTAAATCATGAAGAAAATCAAATCAATAACAAATGTTAATAATCACAATGGGCTAAATGTCAAATTTTTACTTGTTATGGTATGAATTTACATTTCATACAAAAGTCATATGAAATAGTTTTATACATTTATAGTCATAAACACACACAATCATATACATACACATTGTATTGCTTGTTGATGTGCTCTTATATATCTACAGAAACTAACATTTTGTAAAATATTAAGATTTGCTTCTCTTTCAACAAATAATTGCCTATAAATGTATGATACTCGATCAGAAATAGTTTATTCTGTTGTTGCAGGTTAGAAAATCTGCTCAGATTTGTGCTGTGAAGGTCTTCCGTTCTTTTGAATCCGAAAAGGTCAAAGAATGTGCAAGTGAATTGGTACTACAAATGTTCACTTCCCATGTGTCTTTACCCATAGACGAATCGGATACAATAGATCCATGCATTCTTCACATGATGGATATGATGAGATTCCTAATACCTGATTTACCACCAAATTTCGCATCAAAAGCAATTCGAGCATTACCTATAGGAGCCAAGTCCTCAATGGTGATGAGGCGTATTTTAGATTTCATGGAGATTCTACTCGAATACTTTGAAGATGAATCCGAGCTTACACCGATAGATACCGTGATAATAACAAAAAAGTGGATTAGCGAATATTCCTTAATCATTTGTCGTATAGCAGGTAGACATATATGATATAATATATTTCCTTGATATGATTAGTTATATGACTATATTATTTTGCATGTGCTTTTAGGTCTTCTGACATCTGATCATGCTACTGCTACAAGGGCTTCAAGTATTCTAAAAGAAAAGTTGGGACGTGTATTTATCTTTGAAGATCAAAACATTGTTGCACCGAAGGAAACAAAAATGGTGGTAAACATATGCGATGCACTTTTAGAAGTTCTCAGTACTCATGCAAACGAGCATTCTTTACCTGTCATTGCTGGTTTATTTCAAAATATCGGGAACAAGTCCATTGTCTACATGCACAAGATACTTCTAAAGCTTGCTGAATTTATGACAAAAGCATCTGGTGATGTAAAAAGACATGTAAGTTTTTCTTTCAAGTACATTTATGTCTTGCATGTTTCTTTTTTTTAAACATATATAATGACTTTTGATATATTTGATATTACAGGTTCAAGAGTGTATCGGGTGTGCGGTAATTGTTATGAAGCCAGAAAAAGTACATGAATTCTTTCCTATTTCCGTTGATCCCGATGAACTTACTTACACAAACACATGGTTGATACCTATTTATAGGGATCATGTTGTTCTGTCATCCTTGGGGTTCTTTATTAGAACAATAGTCCCTCTCTCCGAATCTTTCATGGAAGCATGCAAAAAAGGTTGACGTACCCCCTCGCCTCAAAACATACAAATTCTTAACATTTTATCATCATCATGACATAATAAAATTTTGTTTTTCTTTCTTGCAAGTTGAAGAAAACTCAGAAATCAGAAAACAATTTGAGTCTCATGCACGAGGTTGTTTGGGATTACTGCCTGCTTTTTGTCGCTATCCAACTGACGTGCGTGAAAGTTTTGGATCCTTAGCAGATCACATGATTAAATGGCTAAAAAAGGATGTGTTTATGATCGAGCATATTGGCATAGCTTTGCAGGTAATACTTGTTTTTAATGTACAATTTGTTTTTGTAGATGGTTTTGTTTTACTAGTTTTGCTTGCCTTTTTTGTTTGTAGTATCTTGTCAAGGGAAACAAAGGCCTTCCTTTTCTCTCTGGTGAGGAACTTTTCAAAGATTGGGGGATTGAATATGGAAAAAAAGTCGAAATGGAAAACATGAAGGCCATGTTACCATGGTTAGAGGAGTTTTTGAAAGCTTTTATCCAAGTTTTCTTTCAATTCTCCCCTGAGAAACCTCCTGCTTTTGTAAAGGTCATGATAGTAACTTCATCGCTTGGGTAATTTTATTTATAACTTGGTTTCTGACTTTATTATATATTAATTATACTATGCATTTACAGGACACGATTAGATGCTTGACACTTGCTATTAAATCTTCAAAAGTAAAAGTGATTTTCCGTTCGTCACTTAAGAATGTTTCTGTAGATGAAGGTAGACCTTTAAATTTGATACTGGAACTTGCATCATTGTTTGTTGAGGCAACTGGAGTTGATTCCGATGATATTATATACAATTCCATCGAAGAGTGTTTGAAGGTTTGTTTGTTTATTTGATGTTTTTTTTTTTTGGGTAGAATCAAATCATACTTATTTTTGTTTTTATGCAGGAAGGGGTAGAGGATGGGGATGCATATGCTGCGCTTTACAAAATCTTGGTGGTAAGAACCAATACTACTTACTCTCACCCCATGAAATTTAATTGTCACATAACATTTTTGTTTTTCAGGAATCTTCCGACTTCAGATCTTCAAAGTTTAAGCAAGTTATCGATTTATTACTTGGTTTGAAACCCCCTAAGGATATAACTTCACTTAGATGGCGGTTTTTGTGCTTCAAGATCTTGTTAGTTCACTCAATGGAGGTTGGTTATATTCTGTTCTAGTATTATTTATTTCTATACCGTGTGAATTCGCTCTTTGCTAATAATGAATTTCTGTAGATATTTCATGCTGGAAAGAACATTTATGGTATTCATATGCTGTATGAAATCATAGTGAGGCCACGAGATGTAAGATCTTTAAGCAACTTACTTGTTTCATTTCATTAAGTTCTTTTTCTTATAGTTGTATTGTTTGTATAATCTACTTTTGATCTAGAAAAAAAGTAAAAAGGTGGCAGGCGAGATCCTTGTAGAGACAAGTACCATCTTAAAAAAAGAACCATCTCCATCAAAACCAGGAAATTATCAAGTATTCATCAGCATGGTATTTTTACCACTCAATATATATATATATATATATATATATATATATATTCTATTAAATAAATTATTTCTTTATTAGTTCCTGAAATGAAAACATTCTTTTATTTATATTTTTAACTTTGCAGATAATGTTGTTACTCTTTTGGAGTCCTTATCACGGAAAAGCTCCTTCTCACGTAAAAGCTGATGCAGTCTCTGCGTTATCTCTACTTGTATCTGATGACCCACAAATCTGCCTTCTGATGCCAGATGTTGTGCCATCAATCCTTGGATTGCTGGATAAGGAAGACAACATACAAGTTGTAAAAGTAGGTTGTTGTTGTTGTTGTGTTTTTTTTTTTTTTTTTTTTTTTTTTAAGTCTTAGATGTGTTTCTTCTACTATTCATGAATTTGTTTATATATATATATGGTCACAGGGGGTTTTATGGTTCATAGAGAACATAGTTGTCAATCTTCCGGTGAGAAAATTGCATGACTTGCATGCTGCTATTTTTCGTGGGCTTTATCCATGGTCGGATGCTTCTCTACATGATATCAAATCAAAGGTATGTGTTAAATTATGTATGTATGTATGTATGTATGTATGTACTTATATGTTCACGTGTTTGCAATAATTACAGGTGGATGCCATTTTAATGATTATTAAACATAAAATTAGTATATTTATGCACCCACTATCACCGGAAGAAGAAGAAGAAGAAGAATACATGATATCAAATCAAAGGTATGTGTTAAATTATGTATGTATGTATGTATGTATGTACTTATATGTTCACGTGTTTGCAATAATTACAGGTGGATGCCATTTTGAAGATTATTGAACATAAAATTAGTATCTTTATGCACCCACTATCACCGGAAGAAGAAGAAGAAGAAGAAGAAGAAGAAGAAGAAGAAGAAGAGATGTTTATGGAGTAAATTTACTGTAAATCTATTTGTAAAATTTTGAGTTTTTCTCAAATAGTACAACCCTAAAAAATTTGTGCAGCCCATGATTTTTCTTCCCTGGTCCGCAACTGAAAACTATGTTGATGTTCTATGACCATGACCATTTAAAAGTGTGCCAAATAAATGCCACATGGACGCAATATCATCTGGGGATGAGCAGAACCGGGTACCCGTCTATTTTAGCCGGAACCGGAACCACTCCCGGAACCGGCGGTTCATAGGTTTTGGGTATTGGAACAGGAACCGCCTACACCGGTTCCTAGAAAATTGGAACCGCTCCCGGAACCGGTGGAACCGGTTCCAGGTACCCGGCTTCATGATAATTTACACCTTTTATTGTATACATTTCATTGAAATAAACTTTTATAAACAATAGGAGACTACGACTACAATATAGAAAAATAATCATAAAAACTTGATCTGAAAACACCATCCCAGCACAATTGGAATTTAGCGAGTAATATAACAAAATGACAATTTTCAACAATAACAAAAGTCAAAACAGCAAACAGCCAAACAACATTCTGCAAGTTTTAAAACAGCATAAAAACAGTAAAACAGCCACAGCATCAACAGGAAACAATAAACAGCAAAACAACAGCAGCAAAACAGCACCGGCAGCAAAGCAAAAAACAGAAAACAGCAAGCCAAACAGCAACAGCAGCAAACATCAAACAGCAACATCCCAACATCAAAAACAGCAACTACTAATTCCCTCCACGTGTATCTTCCATATTGCGACTGATTTCTGCAATGGAATTAAACAAAAAAAATTCAAATTAGAATATTAAATATTATACAAGAAACATAAAATAAAAGAATAAATAAAAGTGTATCTTCCATATTACCTTCCTCATATTTTTCCACATCTTCCAATAACTGTTCAAGGTCAATACAAACATTTGATGCCCTCAACTGAGTACAAATCAAAGCTTCCACCGTCTTTGGAAGCAAACTACTACGAAAGTCATCCACCACACGACCGGATGTACTAAAAGTGGACTCACTAGCAACCGTAGAAACCGGAATGGCTAGAATGTCCTTTGCCATTGATGCCACCACCTTGTATGTTGTGCATTTGTCACTCCACCACTTTAAAATATCAATTGTTTCACTACTCATTTTTTCAGGTGGAGCATCAAGATATTCCTCAAATTTAAATTTTTCCATAACATCTTAAACATCATTTTTATAGAACTCATCATATATTTTTCTCATTTGCTTATTCTTAACCACACCAACAAAATTTTGACCATCATTATCATTTGTATTGAAAGAACTAGAACCATCATTCTTTGTTATTGAAGAAACATTAGAATAATGATTATATAGTTTATTCAAAACCTCAAACACTTGAGCATATAGTTCTTCAACCTTCTTGAAGTCCAAAGGATAGATTTTTTTCTTAGAGAAAACTTCACAAACCTCATCTTATACCTTGGATCAAGAACCAACCGCAACACCCATCACATTTTTTTTCCCAAAGTCTCCATAATACTTGTCAAACTTTTTTCTCATTTGATCACCCATAAGAACAATATTGATATCATCATCTTGGGTCCACTCCAACAAGGAAGCAAGTACACCTAATATCTCATGATAATGCATATTAGCCGTAACATAAAAAATTCCCGACATCCTTTTCGTGGCTTCAAAAAACTGATTCAAACAAAGAGATAAATTTCTAGCACTTTCCCTATCTTTTTGGGATGGAAATCCATCTTTAAGATCTTTCTCAAATGCGGGGTCTTCGTGTCTCATTCTTTTAAAAGCTCTCTCAAACTTAAGTGGCGTTTCCAACATAATGTAAGTGGCGTTCCACCGTGTTGGTACATCAAGAGATACCGACGCTTTACTCGTAATTTTTGATTTTAAAACACAAGTATCAAACAATTTAGATCTTTCAGTAGAGCTCCTAACATATCTAACTGCACCCCTAATCCTAACAATAGCATCTTTAATCAATTCAAGACCATCTTTAACAATCAAGTTTAAGATATGGGCGGCACATCTCATATGGAAAAATTCACCTCCTAAGACAAGTTTATCCATTAGATTATCTTTTATATGAGCAACCGCTACATCATTAGCACTTGCGTTATCTACAGTGATGCAATATAACTTCTCTTCTATACCCCAATAAAGAATACAAGATTCCACTTCTTTCCTGATTTCCTTTCCTTTATGACTATCAATATTACGGAAATTCAAAATTCTTTTATGTAATTTCCAATTATCATCAATAAAATGAGCAGTTAAACACATATAGCTTAAATTTTGCACATAAGTCCAACAATTGGTAGTAAGAGCAATCCTAGAATTCAAACTTTTCAAGGTATTTTTCAAAAGCCATGTCTCGCTAAGAAACACTTTACTAACATCTCTAGCAACCGTGAAACGTGATGGGATACAAAACTGTGGAACGACAACACTACAAAATATCTAAACCTGTCTCGTTCAACGTATGAAAATGGTTGCTCATCAATGACAATCATTTTTGCTAAAGAAATCCTAATTGTATTTTGGTTAAATTCCCAATTAGAAACGGTGGTGGCATCACTTTGACTTGTTCTAAAAGTGCTAATTTTTTTTTTGCTTTTTATCAATACCTTCAGGATTTTGACTTGAGGATGCGTAGGGTCCATTGAAGGACTAATTCTGACCATGTTGACCAAGCTCTATGGTATCTTTCTTTTTCCTTTTAGTTAGTTCATCCCGAACTCATTTTTAGTCTTGTTCTAACTTGAGGACAAGTTAGGTTTAAGCTTGGGGTGATTTGATAGTTTATTTTATTTCTTTCTTTTTATTAGTTTATTTTAGATTTTTAGCTCTTTTTATTAGTATTGCATTGTATTTTAATTAATTTCTTTATCATGGATCGTATATCGGGGACTTTTTATGTTGCATGAGGAATTTTACAGGGTTTTGGAGCTTTTCGTGATTGTGGATTAGAGTGAAAGACGGACCTGTGGGCTCTCGAGGCACTATTGGGCTTGTCGGATCCATAAAAGAAGATTTGGGCCTTAAAGAGTTGAAGACTTGGATATTTTGGGATTGTGAAGACGGGTCATAAACTTCTATATTTGGGCTTGGAGCATCCATTTTAGAAGCTAGAAGGTGATTGGTTGGTTTAAATCACATGGATATGGAGGGGACCAAAGGAATCTTTGGTAGTGGAAGGGTGGAGTGGAGCAATGAAGGACCAATAGCATTACAACAACATTTGCGCGGGTGGAATTTCCGTCGCGCGGGTGGAATTTTCCGTTGCGCGGGTACCCGCGCAACCTCCAGTTTTGGGCATTTTGGTCATTTGGCTTGCCATTACCTTGGGGGGATCAGATCTAGCAGCATATTCACGATTTTCACCATTGGAGACCTGCAAGAGGCGATTTTGAGAGCTAGAAACCATTTTCCTTTCATCTTTCCAAATCCTAGGTAGTTTCTTTATGCAATTAGATTATTGTTATTGTTGTTCTATTGCCATGAGTGGCTAAACTCACTATTTTGGTTGACTTTGGCTTAAAACCTTTGAATGTTTGTGGGTTTTTGAAGGATTCATTCTAGATTATGAATTATCTTATGTTTATGGTTCTAGATCATATTTCTTATGTTTGTTTAATGCTTTAATCATGAGCTTGGCACTTGGATGAGCTAATGTTAGTTTATTTCTTTGGTTTTGCATTGAATCATTGAATTGACATAGAACAAGAGCTTTATGATGGTAAAAATCATCTCTAGTTTATGAATCATAGCTCCTTTATGGATGTGTAAGCATTGACATCCTCTAGGAATTGGGGATTCCTTCTTTCTTAAGGCTAATCAAATTCTTGGGTTAAATTGCTTCAATTAAATCCTTGATCTTGATTAAGAAGGTGTGTTGTGGGCTTCCGCAACCTCCATACTACCTAAGAGGAATCTTGGCATATCATGCTTCATGATTGCTATAACCAATTTGGGATGAATGATAAGCTTCATGTTGAATCCTAATGATAAACACATAAATGTTCATTGTGTTGAATTGCCTTAGTTAACCAATTTCTCTCCAATATTTGAGCATCTCACTATCTTGCTTAATTGCAAGTTTTTAGTTATTCAAGTCTTTTAGTTTCAAGTAATCAAACACCCCCCTTTTAGTTTAATTGTAGTTAGTTAGTTTATTTACACTAGTTCTATTAGATTGCATTGGTGATTGAATACAACCATTTCCCCGAGGATCGATACCCCCTTTTACCATTATATTACGTTTTATTTGCAAACAAAGGGTGTAATTTGCTTGGTGGACTTGACATCCCACCAAGTTTTGGCGCCGTTGCCGGGAAATTGGGTTATTGTGTATTTTGATTGTTTATGCCTAGGTCTACAAGAACCGGTGAATACTCTACAATCCGAAATTGAAAAAGAAGCAAAAAAGGTTGAAAAAGTCAGCCAACAAGCAAAGCAACACACACACTTGGTCAAGGCTTCTTCCCGCTTCTCCACTAATCAACATAGAAGATCAAGTTCATACTTCAAGTGATACCGACACCGAACCGAGTTCTCCAATTGTTGGTCATTCCTTTGGATTCCGTTTGACAACTACATAGCCATGAATCACACTCCATCTCATAATCCCATCCTAAACCCAAACAATCAAGATGCCAATATCTCCCCACAACCAAGACAACAACCTCAAGAACCTCTCATTGATATGCCACCTTGGAATCAAGCCCGCCTCAAAACCAACCAAGTATCACCACAAAACCAAAACCTCCACCAAAACAACCACCTCAAAACAATGCTTTTCAAGTTCAACAACAAGTACATACCCAAAATCAACCTAATTACCAACACCCTCAATGTACCAACCCCCAATGTACCCACAACAGCAACTCCCTTACCAACATACCTAACTACCAACCTTATCCACCACAAATGAAACCACCATACCCACCATACCAACAATACCCAATTACATGCAAAATATCCAAATCACCCCAACAACCCACCAACCATCCCCCCTCAAGAGTTGACACTTAGACAAATGATGGAGAAAGATTGTTACTACACACACCCTTTGGTATTGTCTATCCCGCAAACCACCGAGGAATTGAATTGAAGTCAAGTTTCATACATCAACTCGCCAAGTTCCATGGTTTGGATAGAGAAGACCCTCAAAGGCATTTGAAGTCCTTTCACATGATATGTGTTAGCATGTTGCCCGAACATGTGACATTGGATGATTTCAAGTTAACCGCTTTCCCGCTCACCTTGGAAGATAAAGCTAGAGAATGGTTATTCAACTTGCCACCGGGATCTATTCACACATGGGAAGAGTTCTCAAGGCCTTCAATAGCAAGTTCTATCCCACCCCCCCGGATATCAAGTCAAAGAAGTACTTTTGGGGATTCGTCAAGGGAGAATGAGATTTTTCATGACTTTTGGGAGCGATTCAACAACTTGTGTACAAGTTGCCCTCAACACAACATTCCCAACATTACTTAATCTTCAAAAATTAAGAGGGGAGGAATGAAAAAGAAAGATGGTGATGATGATGCTTCAAGTGGTGGTGACATCTTCACAAGACACCTCAAGAAATAAGATCACTTTTGGAACCCATTTCTCAAAATCAACGGAACTT